CCAGGATGGACACAGATGCTTTGAAGAAATGAGACCTCAATTTGGGTACATTGCATGGAAGAAGTAGTCTGGAGATAGTCATGGAAAGAGATAGTCTCTGATAGTATATCAGAGATAGTCAATAAATTGTCCACAATTACTAAATTAAAGAATGGCAAAGGTAAGAAAGAGTAAAGCTCAAGATTCAATGGTTGCACAGAAGGAATAGTGGTAGCAGTTTAGATTTTGAAGTTTAAAAAAATGAACCTCTATTTGCATAAAAGTCAGCTATTCTTTGTGACTTTGAGTAATTTGTTTAAATTTCCTTGTCCACATGGACTTCTAGAAATTGTAATGTATTTACTTCATAAGGTAGTTTCCAGGATTAAATTAGATACTACCTAAAAGGCAATTATTCACTATTCACTTTCAGTACTATTTTCTCTGGTTAATTCTGTCTACCAAAGCTTTTACTGTTAATCAATACCAAGATCCAAACAAAAATAACAACAAAATAAATATGACAAACAAAACTAACAATTATTTGGAATAGCAAAGATTACAAACAGAAGTTCCAAAGGTCAAGACAGTTTATGGAATTTTTAAAGTTTATGTAATTCTAAATAGAAACACATGAATGTCAGCATCAACATTTTTATTAACAGAAGATAGAATTCACTAATCATCCCCATTATAACTTTCCATCTTAATTATCTCACAATTTCCACCCTTCTATTAAGTGATAGTTTATATTTTAGGAAATCCACCTTCTTAGCCCTGGACTATTCATATAATCACTTGACTCAACTAGGTCATTTTTATTTTTTAAGGAAGTGACCTTTATTCCGATGGTCTATAGCTAACAAGAAAGGAAGGAAAGCAGGCAGGGAAGAAGGGAGGGAGAAAGATTTTCTAATATACATACTTCTTACTGTAGAGTTTAAAAATTAATGTTTATTCTTAACATTTCTTCTCTCTTTACATCCTTAAAGATCTCATGTTTCGGGACTTCCTGGTGGCCTAGGGGTTAAGTCTCAGTGCTATCACTCCGAAGGCCTGAGTTCCATCCCTGGCCAGGGAGCTAACCCATATGGTGCTGTGGACCACTCCTGTCTTCACTGCTGCTCCCCTCAGCAATGTATTTCAGTAAATCCACCTGTTCTGCTCCTCATGCTGTCTCTGGTGAATCTTCTGACCCTCCGCGTCTCTGGCCTACACCTTGGTTCTTCTATGCAAAAATAAATATGTATATATGTGTGTATTAAATACATATATTTAATACATATATGTGAAATCTATATTTAATACATATATGTATTTAAATGTATATTTATATATGTATATAAATATGTGTATGTGTGTGTTAATAGAAATAATATGTGTGAATATTAAAAAAAAATAAGATCCTGGCTTTTGTGCAAGTCCTTAATGCCACTGAAAATTGTATAGCCTTTTATGAGTGGGCTCAGTTCCCTACAGCACCTCACATCCAAGTTGGGTTTCTATACAAGCCACTTTCTATTATCAGCATTCCATTCCACAGAGTTCTGCCAGGCCAGAACTTTTAGATTGATTTAAGCGGTAAACTACTGGCCCATTCATCTGCGCCATTTTATCAAGGATTCAAATTATGGCAGTATTCCTTTTCTACTGCTGATAAATCCTTTTATCTCAGAAGTAATTTTTGACTGAGATTTATTGACCTTCCTTTCTTTCCTCATAATAGGCAATTAGTAATCCCTTATTCAGACCTTCAATTCTAATTGTCACAAACTTAATGTGAAAGGAGAAAAATTGACCCAAACTTGGCCTAGGAAAGAAACTTTGTTCAAGTTGTAATTTACAAATCCTTTTTAGGAAAAATTATCATTCCTGATAAAAGGCTTAATTAATTTTCAAATAAATTTTAATGAGACTAAGTCCACTTTTGAGAACTCAGCCACCCACTTCCTCAGTGCACTGTTAATCTTGGGAGGGGCCTAATTACCTTTAACCAGTCTTGAAGATGTTGTTTAATAATTTAACTACATTCTTTTTTTTTTCTTTCATGAAGTAAATTAGTGATTATCTAACCATCTACTTTTCCTGTAGTATATACAAAAGAAAAGCAAACCTCATCTTTAAACTGACCTGTTAAAAGTTTTTCTTCTACATATGGTAATAAAAAAAATGTAATTATAAACATAAATGTAAATTGTTAAAAAAAAAAAAATGACCATGTTATTTTTCAAAACTGCTTTTCAGGCCTTCCTGGTGGTGCAAGGGATTAAGGCAAAACCTATGAAAGTCTCCACAGCCACTGCAGAACGAGTTTGATCCTTGGGCAGGGAGCTGTGCCAGAGGTCTGGCGTAACAGACTTCTCCTAGCTCCCCCACTGCTCCCCTCAGCAGTGTATTTCAGTCAGTCTGCCTGTTCTGTTCCCCACTCTGTCTCTGGTGAATCCTCTCACCCCCCCCCCACACCTCTGGCCTATACCCCAGTTCTTGTATGCATAAATAAATAAATCTTTATAAAAAAAACCTACTTTTCATTTTGTATTGTCTTCTCTCACCCTTCTAGCTTTTTAGTACTTTGGTGGCAGCAGATACAAATTCTTTTTCTTTTTTATTTCTGTTAATAGCTGGTACTTATCATAAAGCTTACAAACAGTCAGCTTGATTAAATGAAGATCAAACAAAGAGTGAGAAACAGACAAAAAGTTAAAGCAATATTAAGAGACATAGAGCAACATTAAGAGAATGGGAAGGAAATGGAGTTGGTATTCCAGTGTGTTTATGAGTATTTTAAATGCCATTCTGATACAACAGGCCTAGAGCAGAATAGAATATTAAAGAGCAAGTCATCCAAGGTGGAGAAAGACACGTCCGATAAGGCATATAGAAACATACTATAGGATTACAGACTTGTAAACCTATTTAGGATGACTAATAAAATAATAACAATAATGTTCTTGACTTAGCCTAGAATTAAGAAACCATAATATACCCCCAAGAATTTCTCTAAAACACAGAAGGGGAACCTACTACTGAACTTTAATATGGAGGTAACATATTGTAGGCCAGCATGTGTTTTGAAAACCCAACATATATGTAATAGATATATGGCATTATCTTTTTTTTTTATTTATTTTTTACATCATTGTTCATTTTTAAACAATTTTGCTTCCCCTATCCCAGGTGTAGTCCCCATAGAATTTCCTTCACCAATGCACCCATGCACCATCACCACAGTCCGCTGTGCTCCTCCCTCCCTCCACCTGATCCCTCTCCCTCCTTCTCCCCTGCAGGAGGTCTTTGATTTATAATTGTCTTTTTTTTATGTTTTTATTTGTATTGTTATTTTTTTTCCCCTGATGTCTTATTTGGTTCCCCTATTTTCTTCCTATAAGTGAAACCATCTGATATTTTTCTTTTTCCTTCTGACTTATTTCACTGAGCTCTTGAAGATTTGAATTTAATGTAATTTTGAACACCATTGTCATATGAGAACAAGATTCTTCAAGGGATCAAGATATTTAAGGGAATCCAGGAGCAGCCATGAAATGTGCATCACGAAATTTTGTGGAGCTAGAAGTGTGTATGAAATACACTGTTTTATAATGAATGGGTGGTCATTGACAGGGTAAGAGCTGTACTTTAAGGTAACAATCTGACATCCACTTGTCCTTGTCAATATAATTATCATGCAGTTGTAGCAGAGATACTAGTTACTTTAACAACCAATAATAATAGGCTTTATTTTTTTTTTTCAATCCAAGGGAATATAATTTATATTAGCACTAGGTCATTTAGATGATTCCAGAGACAATGTTCAAAATTCATTTATGCTATGTGTGGAATAGCAAACATTTATATCTTTTATTTAACATCATAAACAAAGCAGAAAAATGTGACATTTGATATTACAAGCTGTAAGTACCATGCAGTACTCACTTTATATGTGAACTCTTTTAAATTTTTCATAGTTGACTTATCAATTTATTTAGTTCTCAAAACAAGACTATAAAGTAGGTGCTATTATTAGTCCATTTTATAAATGAAGTAATTGAATGAATAACATGGAAGGTTAAATAAGATCTCAAAAGTTGCATGAGTTAAGTGTCCAGGCACTTTGAGTTGTAGTCCTTTAACATACTTGTCCCTTTATTGCTTTAATGAACTTCTTCCATGGGACCTCATGGTATTTAACCTCTTGTTACTTTACAATATCCCTCTGAATTTCATAGAGATTGTCCCAGAAAACATAGTCAAATGGTTAAGATCTTGCATTCTGCTTTGTGATTTGATGTAAGTTAGGTAATTTTTTAAAAATCTTTTTCCTCATCTATCCTTCTTATCATTTATTGATGATAAGTATAATATTTTCTGCCTTGTAGGGTGTTTTTTTAAGATTTATTTATTTATGCATACAAGAACTGGGGTGTATGCCGAGATGGGTGTGTGTGTGTGAGAGAGGATTCACCAGAGACAGAGTGCGGAACAAAACAAACAGACTGACTGCAATACACTGCTGAGGGGAGCAGCGAGCGAGACAGGAGAGGTCTGCTGTGCCAAATCCATCAGCTCCCTGCCCAGGGATCAAACTCAGGTCTCAGTGGCTGGGGATAGCTTGATAGCTTTCTGTCTTTATTTAACCCCTGTGCCACTAGGGAGCCCCCTGCCTTGTAGGGTGATCATAACAATAAATTTAAGTGCAAAGTGGCTACTACAGTCCTTGACACATGGTATATCTATAACTATGTATAGATTTATATTTACATATAGATGAAGACAATGATATATAGACTGAAATTGTAGATATTCATCATTATTAACAATGTTATAAAATAATTTAAAAATAAGGAGCTAAGGGTCAACATTGCTTTCTTAAGTTGCAAATACCTTTGATGGAAGGCAAGTCTTCTACAATTTTTTTTTTAATCCTACTGACTCAAAGGGCTAAAGCACCCACTATCTGAATGAAAAAGAATTGAATAGCAATAAATGAATGAATGAATCTAAAGTCTTCATTAAATACTTACTAAAATTTCTGAAACTCTTTTCTTTACTCATCAACTGCAATCCTAACAATGCTCTATCTAGCACATTATCAAACTTCCCCTGTTAGGTCTCATCCACCCCCATGCTCTGCTTTTTTTTTTCTTATTTTTCTCTGTGTTCCTTCTTTTATTATGTAAATCTCTTTATTATGTCATCTACATAGCTTTTAGTACTTAAAGTCCCACACTAATATTTTTGGTTTCAGCACATACTTTGGAATGAATTTGACAGCACCTACAGGAAGATCAAGGACTTCTCCAGACATATTCATTTGCATTGTTTTACGTAACAGTGTTTTGAATTAGCTGATTATTCAAAGTAATTTTCCACGTGTAAGGCTGTGTGAGACAACTTTCTCTGTTCGTGTTTGTTAAACTGCTATTTTTCAACAAGCTAAAATATTTATAACCAAGAAACATAAATGTGGTCTCGGGTGGGCTCTAGTATTCCTGGTGGACCTTCCCTCTTGTTTATGTTCAACCATTTACACAAATGGAACCAAATGCCCTCTTGCACAACCTCTGTATGCGTGCATTTGCCGATATCCTCTCGAACCTTATTTAATCTCATTGTGTGTAAAATTGGTTCATATGTCTGAAACACATATTGTGTCGACCTTAAATATTTTGCAGCATATTAAAAATTAATTTTTAAGTTAAAAACAAAACCTAGAGCACCAGCAAAACTAAGATTTGTTTCTCCCAGGATAGAGTCTAATTCAGCTGCGACAGCAAGATTGGATAAATGTTTTCTAAAAACATGAACTCCCACAAAGTACAAAAAAGCCTCTCTAAGTGTGGGTTAGCTCTGTTCATTGACTAAAACACTCCTTTGCATTTCAAGGAGCAGAAAGCTACTGTTCTGACTCACAAATCAGAAAATTTCCTAACTCTCTTGTGATATACTTATTTCTGGTTTCATACACACTACTGACACTAAATAAAATTTCTCTTTTATATCAGAGTTAAACAGCAAATATTCTCTTGCTTGGCCTTCTGCATAAAAGACTAACTAGGAAATCTAGCTGAGTCCATGAAATATCTAATAATCTCTTTGTTTGACTATTGTCACAAACTCCTGTGCTTCAGGGGTTCACGTTGTCAGCAAAAAAACTTCATTTGAATTTGCATTATTGGATTCAATCAGCGGACTATATTTTGTCTGCCAAAAACCTGACACCTATCGAAGAGGTGCAATTTACATATAGAGGAGTGCTAGCAAACTGTACATTTTTACTCTATCAGTGTAAGTCTGGATACCTGAATATAATATCTATATAAGACAAGAAGTCAAAATATGTCAAGTTTTAGGCAGTGATTTCTGATTTTTCTAGAAGTCTTGACTATTGAACTGTAATTTGCTAAAGCCTTCTTTCTCTCTTATTTAAGAATTGACCAAATTTGGTCCTCCCCGTGGTGCAGCGGTTGAGCGCTGGGTTGCGAAGCTGCCCGCAGCCTCTGCTGCGCTGGTTTGATTCCTGGCTCCTCACCGGCCACCAGAGGAGGGTCCCACATGGCGCGCAGACCTCTCCTGCCGCCCGCTGCTCCCCTCAGCAGTGTATTTCATCAGTCTGCCTGTTCTGTTCCCAGCTCTGGCTCTGGTGAATTCTCTCACCCTCCCGCGCTTTCTGATTGTACCTAGTGCTTGTATAAATAAATAAATAAATCTTAAAAAAAAAAAAAAAAGAATTGACCATATTAAACATTTTTTTTTTATTTTCAACCTACACTGTCCAGTATATTAATTAAGGAAAAATATATGAAATGCATATTAGATTTGTACTGTGAAAACCTATTTCTCTCCATCTCTTATACTTAATATTCAATGGCTCATAATTAAAATTCTGGAAAACATTGATGGATTTTGGTGGAAACTGAATATGAATAATATAGGTATGCAGTAGCAACATCCTTTGAGAGTTTAGGAGTTTAAAATCAGAATTTTGGAATATAAGTCCTATCTCTCCCAGTTATGAGGTAAATCTTGGAAAAATCAGATTATCTAAGTTTCCTTAGCTGATATTGCAGAGAGCAAATGTAACACTACATGAGAAAGTATTTTATAAGTTATAATAGATACATGTGTTTGTAATCGTTGTTATCACTCTATTTTATAGGAAAATACTGGAGCGTTTGATATCTAATTGCTATTTTGCATACACACAAAAAATAATTATCCATTTGACTTTCATATCTTGAGTATTTTTCTGTCAAATTAAGCACTCTCATCATGTCTATTTTTAAAGACGTTTAAATGATTACAAAAGTGCAAATGTGTGAAACCTTGAAGATTTTGCTATTCAGAGTGTCAGCTAGTTCACAGTCACACTAACAGACCAATCACAGGGCCAAGGAAGTGTTTTATTTCTCATTTAAATATTTGACTTCATTCTGATCTGACCCAATTCACTTGACACTCTCTGAACTGCAGGTGGCTAGTTAGTTGTGTAATTACAGTTCCACTGTTTCAGTTTAATACTTTGGACTCAATTTAGTTGTACAAAGAGAATGCAAGATCACCACATAGATTAGTCCTTTAAAGACTTTTGATCCTTTTGTATTTTGATAAATTTCCCAAATGCTATTATTGCTTCTCTTAAAGACTTGGTTCCTGAAAGCTTTTGCTCTTTACAAGTTTAGTATCTGCTGAAGAAAGCTGCAGAAAAATGTTCAGTAACAGAAATACTAAGCCTTCATTCTCATAATAAACATAAGATTTGAAACTTTATCAAACTTTCATCAAATGTTCATTACATTCTATCCTCTAAGTGCACGCTGACTTCAAATTGAACTTTTCATTGTAAAGTTTATGTATTTCTTTCTTTTGCCTTGGTAAACAATTCTTTATCCATCTTGAATTTTGGAGGGACTATTATTTTATTGCTTATGTGGCTTTTGTTGGTGTTTAGTGTTAATAATAGTTTTTTTATTCAGCAACATCCACCTATGGCTTGTAAAGTTTATCACATATAGGATAAAGTTCACAAATTATATTTCAGTGAAATTACAATTTGTCTCATAATTAAATTTATCTCAAAAAGCATTTAGCAGGCCTCCCTGGTAGAGCAGCCAGTTGAGCGAAGCACTGTGGAGCTGTCCGCAGCCTCTGCAGTGCCGGTTTGATTCCTGGTGTGCCAGGGAGAGTCCCACATTGCCTGGCAGACCTCTCCTGTCGAGCCCGCTGCTCCCCTCAGCAGTGTGTTTTGGTCCTTCTGCCTGTTCTGCTCCCTGCTTTGTCTCAGGTGAATTCTCTCACCCTCCTGCTCCTCTGGCCTGTACATACCCAGTGTTTGCATAAATAAATAAATCTTAAAAAAAAAAAAAAAGCATTTAGCAATGATTTTTTTTTTCCAGATGACTTTTAAATGTGCATCCTCAAAAATCTCCATTCTTTCTTTGTAAGTGAAAATCATCCTATTAGTAGGTGTGATAAAGATTTTTTTTAAAGCATAGAACAGGAGTGTAGGCCAGAAGTGCTGAGGGAAGTGTGAAAGGATAATCCATAGACAAAGTAGGGAGAGGAACGGGATTTACTGAAATATACTGCTAAGGTGAGAAGCAGGTGAGACAGGAGAGATCTGCTGCACCATATGTGGGTTAGCTCCCTGGCAGGAGATGGAACTCATGCTTCAGTGGCTAGTGAATAGCTTGATAGCACTGTCTTTAACCCCCGTACCACCGGGAAGGCCCCATATATATTTTTTTCAATGTAAGCTTCAATTCTAGTTTTTCAGAAGTGTCAGGACATTTTGTTTGAGTAAATAAAATAAAAACTCCATCAAGTTGCAAATTAGTCATAGTTTGTGTCTTATTTTTATATGTCTGTGCCAATTGGGTCATGTCCATTTTTGAATACTATCCTTCTTAACTCAGTATGACAAGCACTTAGAAATTTCTGTCAGGGTTGTATTTCAATGATATCATGGTTGCTAACCTGAGCAGGTTCTGCTAGGATATGTAAGTTCCCAAGGACACATGCCTTAAATACTTATGCTGGGGCCACAGGTTGTTTGTTTGATCATCCTCACATTATTTCATGATCCAATTATTTCTTTCCTCTCAACTTTTTCATTTTTTAATGTACTATTTCTAATGATATGGTTAAATATAGATCTATAATGATGGAGCAGTTTATATATAGAAATGCTCAAATAAGGTTTCCCAGCAGCAGATTGTTTTCCCTTCTTTTAACAAAATCAATACCTCCGCTGAACTTACAGCCCTTTATCTCCCCCAAAGAAATGACCTGAATAATGATTTGAGGCATTCCATATACAGGGGAACGTTCTATAATTCAATATCACAACTTCTTGTAGAATACACCCTAATATGTGGTGCCCGATACTTGGAGACAACTTAGAAAATGATGAGGGAAGCAGGAAGCTAACCTCCATTCTTTCTTGATCTGCTTCTCACTATAGGATGCTCTAAAACTACTAATACTCAATGTGGCTACATAGGTACAAAATTACCACATAAAGCACACATTACGAAGAAAACTGACATTTATTGTTTCTCTCTCATGCTAGGTAATTCTGTGACTTTATTCCAAAATCAGTACCCCATAAAGCAAATCTCACTATCCTTTTTATATGTGGGGTGGAAAGGTAGTACCCATGTAAAAATTAGGTTCCACGACTGACCTACTCTCACGATGGCCAAACCTGGCTTCAAATAGTGTTATTCTTCCCAAAACATCATTCTCTTAATTGGGAAATTGTGTAACTAAATTATTTTAATAATGTATTAGAAAATAATTTTGTATGAAAAATCAATGAGAAAACTGTGTGTGGTGAAGAATATCAGATAAAATATAGTGATGGGATAAAGGAAAATTTCAATAAATCTGCTAAATTGAGGACATTTTTGCCCAATGAATTATGTTTTTTTGATGTAAAATTTTCAAAAAGAAAGATATTTATTTATTTAAACTTAGCCAAAATTTAGTGAGTAGCCATGATTTACCTCTGGCACTGTGATAGATGGTAAGATGCATGTAATT